ATCATTCAACGTTCCCACATGAGATGTGCACTCGTGGTCACTGTCCACGAAGCACAGCACTCACCTCCAAAGAGGCGAGGAAGCCGGTATTCACTGGCCGCGCCGTGGATGATGTCGTGTCAGGAATACGGATGTAGCCAGCATTAAATAAGTGATATTAGGGAGTCACAGACACAAGATCTTATTATTCAACACAAACGGTTTCCAAAGAACCATGGCATTCAGAGCAAGAATAGCGCTGCTTTCTATTTATCTCAATGGAAGATGTGAAACTAGTACATTTGCCAAAGAAGAACAGAGAGGGCTCCTGTTCCTTAGGAGGAGGAGACAGTTATCTTCACAGGAGTACTGCTTTTCAATGCACTGTTCTAAATCACATGGCAGATCACCACACCTCACATGGGCCCATAAATCTTTAAATATATTTTAAATCCATACATTTTTAAAATAAGATGGCTTATATATGCAGGTATCCCATAAAAACATTTCCCAGAGCCCTCAAGTTCTAGGTGCAGCCCGTACCTGAAAACCAGGTCCTGATCTCATCTTGCCTTTTCCCATAAATCTGACCCACCCCCAGAATCTGCCATATTAGAACACGGCGGCTCCATATTCTAAGATTTTGCTCTAGTCAAAATCTTTGGCTCCTCTCTTTCGCACATGTTCACTTTCAGTCCATCAACAAAGCTTGTCAGACCTACCTTCAAAATACATATCACTTTTCACTTTCTTCCCACCATTACCTCCCTGGGCCAAGTCACCTTCATCGCTCACCTTGACTATAACATAGTAAGCTTCTTTAGCAGTTGCTATGCTTCCTCCACAGGCTCCCGCAGACCTAGTCTCCACAGACTATCACAAATGACTCTTTTAAAAACTAAGTAGATCATGTCACTCCCCGATTCAATTGCTTCCTGTCACAGACATTGAGTTTTGCCTCTCAGATGCCCTTTCATGGAAGGACAGAGTGCCCTGCTCTAGGTTACATGACCACAGTGCCCAGCTCCTTTGAGGTCAAAGCTGCAGATGGATTCTTTGTTCAAGGTCAGACCTTTCCTGGGACAACCTGCGCCTGGTATCTGAGCAGTACAAGGGTATAAAAGCCTGATGTATTGACCTGACAAAGGACAACTTTGAACAAAGGACCCCAGAGGACAGTGTTCTCTCCAGCACTCACCCCTGGGTGGGCCAAGGCATTCTTGGCTCTTCACCGCAACTCAGTTTCAACCTCAACCCAGTCCTCTCTCCTCCTCCCGTCTCACCGGTGTCATACCTGCACTGTAGTCTGGAGTTTCCGCCTGTCATTCCTGCTCCCTCTCCCCTTTGACTTCCATGAGCATTTGCACTCCACCTGACCCCTGAACCTTGCAGTTCTATGTCCTGTTGGCTTCTGATTCCCAAAGGACCCAACAGTGACTCGTTTGCCCTCACCACCCTGTGTAAAACATCAGTGCACTCTCTACTCTATCCCCCTTACTCTGCTTATTTTTATCAATGGATCACCACATGTCATACTTTTTTTTTCCCCTCAAAAAATATTTGTTTTTTCATCTTCTCCCCACAGACTAGAATACAAGCTACTCAGAGACTTGACTCTGTTTACTTCCATACCCATATGCCTAGAATAATGCCTTGGATGTAGTAAGAGCTCAATAAATATCTGATGAATGAAAAAACAAATGCATTTTGGGGAGGCCCCTGCTAGAAAGAAGAAAACTTGAATCGCTGCAAAAATAATTCAGTGTCTTCTCTCAGACATATAGGGAAAATTTTAGGAGCTGAAAATTTTTGAGATGTGCCTGTTACTTTCAAATTTGAGTCTAGAACCCAGGGGCCCAGATTCCCATATTCATTTTGCCTCCAAGCACATATGCTGCTTCAAATATCTGTTGAGCACTATCTGTGAGCCAGATGGAGCTGAGCACTTGGAAATACAAAAATGAAAATAATACCACCCTGCCTTTGGTCAGCCTCGGGCCAGTGATGGAGACAGACAAGAATTCACCAAAGGAACTAAGGGCTATTACAAATGTGACAGTGGATGCTATGGAGGCCCAGAGAAAAGTCACTTAAGCCAGCACTGAGGAGGGCTAAACTGCCCCAAGGAAGCCCTGAGAAACATCTCCAACAGCCCCTAAGCTCACTTCTACCTCAGTACCTTTGCTCTGGCTGTCCCTACTGCCTGGAGCATGGTACCCTCTAGATTTTCACATGGTTGTACCTTCATGTCTTGGATCAAATGCCACCCTTTCAGGGTGCCCTCCTGAACACCTGAAGTGCTCCAACTACACCAATCCTGCCTTCCCTTACACTTTGACTAGATGCTCTGTCAAATAATCTTATTTTTGTCCTTCATAGCACTTCACAAGACCTGTTGATTGATTGACTGATTATGTATTGTCTATCTCCTCCATCCTGTGCTGTAAGTCCTCTGAGAACAAGCACCTTGTTTGTTTTGCTTTCTGCTCTGCAATGCAGGAGACCCCGGCTCAATTCCTGGGTCCAGAAGATCCACTGGAGAAGGGCTAGGCTACCCACTCCAGAGTTTCTAGGACTTCCCTGGTAAAGAATCTCAGGTAAAGTTCAGCTGGTAAAGAATCTGCCTGCAATGCAGTAGACCCTGGTTCGATTCCTGGGTCTGGAAAATCTCCTGAAGAAAGGGATTGCTACCCACTGCAGCATTCTGGCCTGGAGAATTCCATGGGCTATACAGTCTATGGGGTCGCAGAGTCGGACACGACTGAGTGACTTTCACTTCACTGGCTGCAGTGCCTACAAAGGGGCCTGGCACATACGGGGGGTTCAACAAGTATGTATGAACAACTGTGTGCTGTGCTGTGCTTAGTCTCTCAGTCATGTCTGACCCTGTGACCTGTGGCCACCAGGCTCCTCTGTCCATGGGGTTCTCCAGGCCAGAATACTGGAGTGTGTTGTCATGCCATGCTCCAGGGGATCTTCCCAACCCAGGGATCGAACCCAGGTCTCCCGCATTGCAGGCGGATTCTTCACCATCTGAGCCACCAGAGGAGCATGAACACTTGGGTAGAAAAGTGGATAAAAAGACGCTGCTTCAACAGAGACACAAAGAACAACTAGTAAGTCAGGGTCGGCTGAGAGTGAGGCAGCTCCAGAAGGAAAGCTTTTGCAAAGAAGTGGACTATCTTTCTCCCCAACCAGGGTCCCAACATCAAAAATCTTCAGGTCTGGGGGATAGAATATGGGGATTCAGACAATATTGGGGGATTCATTATAACATTCTCTTTACTTTTATATTCTGGAATTTTTCACAATAAACTAAAGATGAATTTATGCTTTTGAACTGTTGTGTTGGAGGAGGCTCTTGAGAGTCCCTTGGACAGCAAGGAGATCCAAACAGTCCATCCTAAAGGAAATCAGTCCTGGATATTCACTGGAAGGACTGATGTTGAAGCTGAAACTCCAATAGTTAGGCCACCTGATGCAAAGAACTGATTCCTTGCAAAAGACCCCGACGCTGGGAAAGACTGAAGGCAGGAGGAGAAGGGGGATGACAGAGGATGAGATGGTTGGATGGCATCACCGACACTATGGACATGAGTTTGAGCAAGCTCCAGGAGTTGGTGATGGACAGGGAGGCCTGATGTGCTCCATTCCATGGGGTCACAAAGAGTTGGACACGACTGAGCGACTGAACTGAAAGAAACAAAAGTCTTGGGGCTACGAGGGTAGGAAGCAGCTCCATTTTAAGCCCAAAGGTGGGACCTGGGGTAAACTGAAGGGAGCAGACTCCATGCAAAGACATTCAGGTTTCATTTTTCCTCCCCACACTCTGGTGTGGGCTGAACGAAATGAGCCAGAAGTCAGTCAGTTTGTGAACCCTGGACAGCACGGGCCATGTCATGGGTCCTAAACAACTTATTTGCTCGATTCTGAAAAACTTTACAAGAAATTTCCAACAGTCTGGAGACCAAGTCTCAGAAATATTGAAGAATCAGGCTCTTTTCTAAGACCTCACTTGTGCTACAGCTCTGTCTAGGGCACACTGCTCATTTCCCTACGGGGAGACAATAGAAAACATGTATTTTTTTATCTGCTCCCAGTTCCTGGAACACAACCTCTGAAAACTTGTCATTTCTTAGGTGAAAGGAGTACCTGTAGCATCTTTTATATTGAAGGGACTCTATTGCAGGGACTCTTCATCTATTGCAGGGATTCTGGGTGGCTCCCAGATGAAAGACAGTCAGCAGAAAGACCAAGTTGTGATTAGAAACTTGGAGTTTTCATCCCCAGCCCCCATGCTCCAAAGAGAGGAAAGGGCTGGAAATGGAGTTAATAACTAATCAGGCCTTCATGAGGAAGCCTCTGTAAAAACCCCTATAGAGGGGGGTCTGGAGAGTTTCTAGATTGGTAAATACGTCCACATCGGGAAGGTGATGCACCCCAGCTCCTCGGGGACACAAGCTCCTGCGATCAGGACCCTCATCTGTCTCCTTTATCTTATCCTTCAACAAACCAGTAACCATGTTTCCCTGAGTTTCGTGGACCACACTACCGATTTAATCAAGCGCTAGGCAAGGGAGGCATGAAAACCTCCAATTTATAGCCAATCCGTCAGAAGCACAGGTGACAACCTGGACTTGTGACTGGCATCTGCAGGGGGTGTGGGGGCAGTCGTGTGGGACAGAAGCCTTACCCTGTGGGATCTGACCCTATCTCCAGAAGGCAGAATCAGGACTGAGTGAAACTGTAGGATCCCCCACCCTTATCCCAGCTGGTGTCACAGAGAATTGCTTGGTGTGGAGAAAAGCCTCCACGCGTTGACGATCAGAAGTGAAGGGTTTTGTGTGAGGAGTAAAGGAGACACAGAGGAAAGAAAGGCTTGCTGGGGCAAAACTTAGTTTTCCTCACAGCTCCCTTCTCCCAGGCTCCGTGCCGGGGAAGCGAGTCCACACAGCTGGCTCTAAACGCCCCACTGCAACTTCCAACCGTCACTGTCCCCCACTCCCTTCCTTCTGAGGTCCATGCCCTCCAACCCCCACCCCACCTCGCTTCCCATCCTTGTTCCTTCCACCTCCAGCCCAGGTCGCCCCACCACCATCAGCAAGGGCTCCCGCCTCTCCTCACAGGGCTCTTTCCCTGCGACCTCAGCCTCCAGTCAGAAAATGGCAACCGTCCATGAAGGCGACCCAGCCGACAGCCCCATCGCCCGCATGGGTCCGCAGAACTGCTCTCAGCCACGCCTGGAACCCCGGGTTACCTTCAGGCCTGACGTCTTGCTCTCTGAATGGTACCAGAGCGCCGCAAGAGCAGCCCACAGAAAGGCAGCCATTGCTGCAGCTCCGCGCTTCACCTGTGGCCAGACCAACGGTCCGGCCCCGCCATTGGCTGGTGCTGCAGTGGGCCACGCCCACAAGCAACCCGCTGTTAACGAGGGGCCCCTAATGAGGTGATCCCGACAATGGTCTGGGTGGTGGGGCCGTAAGGGCCAGCTGCTGGCCGCCTCCCTGGGGCCCTCCGGTCTGCTCCCGGCCTTGGGCCAGTAGGTGAGCTGGGGGACCCAGGAACAGGCTAGGGGCTGTGTCCTGCAGGGCTCCAGAGCCCTCACCAAGGTCACCCACTGGTGCAGCCCAGGCCTGAGGCAGTGGGGAACCTCTTCCCATCCTTGTCTCCGCGCCCCTGCTGTCTGCCTGGGTCCCAGTCTCTCCACACACACCAATCTGGGTGGCCTGAGGGCCAGTTGGGTTGGGTGCCCAGCTCCTTTGGTTGATGACAGCAGGGCAGGGCCTGGGGACCTGGGCTTGAGGGAGCTGCCAACTGAGATCTGCCTCCTCTCAGTCAGGACCTGGACCTTGGAGGATGACAGGTGTGCCTCGGGACCTGGCCGTTTCTTTTCAGAACAGAGAGTAATATTTGTCTGATAGAGATTTACAGGAGTAGCATTTCCTGACGTCAAGAACAAAGCGTGTGACACCAAGAAGTTTGCAGCAACTACCCACACCCCTTCCTCACCTTTCCTAGAAAAGGGCTTTGCTAAAAGCTTTCAGGGAGTTTGGGTTCTTAAGGCATGAACCACCCATCTCCTTGCATGGCCCTGTAATAAAATTTTCTCTGTTCCAAACTCTGATGTTTCGGTCTTATTTGACCCCATTGTGCATCGGGCACATGGACTTGGGTTTTCAGTAACAGGAGCAGCCTCCCCCCTGAATCCAGGGCTCAGTCAAGTTCTCTACATCTGGGATCTTCAAGATCTTGAATTCTCATTTTCTTTTCAATCTACCAGCATCCATCTCACTTCACTTTTTTCCCTTATGTACAGTGGTGTTCTGTAACCTCAGCTAAGTGTTAGAATCACTTGGGGAGTTTCTGCGGCTCAGGAAGACTAATCTGCCTTAATCAGTGACATCAGGTGCTCTGGGGAAGGGACACAACCATAATTATTGCGGAAGGTTTCCCAGTTGATTCCAGTGAGTGGCCAAGGTGCAGAGCCACTCGGTGCTCCACCTCCTGAGCTTCATTGCTTTAACCACTTCCTGACCTGTACCTTCACTTCCCTCTTCTCTGCCTGGGGGCAACCCCGCCACACACTTTGTCTATTCCTACAAGGAAGCTGCGAACTCTGCTGGAGGAAAATCACAAAACCACCCACTTTCTCTGGAGGACTAGTTTGACATAAGGCACTAAGCTGGTGGGATTTGAAGCATCCCAGAAAGAGTCATTCCTTTGGAAGACACGCTTACTTCTTTAGGCAATAATCTTACCAAGTGCATGTCATCAGGAAAAGTTACAAATGTAGGAACAAGACTCCATTTGCAAGTAACAGTAACTCCATGAGTTATAGCAGCAGGATGGTGTGCATTTTTTTAACTGGTTTTGTTTGAGTTTTTGTTGCTATGTTTTGTTTGAGGTTTTTGTTGTTGTTGTTGTCTGTCTCACTGTGTGGCATATGGGATCTTAGTTCCCCAATCAGGGAATGGAAGCCACATGCCCTGCGGTGGAGTCTTAACCATTGGACCACCAGGGAAGGCCAGTGTGCATTTCTGGTTGAGACATAGTGTCACTCATGTTAGCAGAATAATGTAGGGATCACAGCAGAGTCAGTGCTGTACTGGGAAGAGTTATGAAAGGCTTGGAGCTGAAATAAAGAGGGACCAGTTGCTAACTAGAGACCTCTGCCCTCCCAGGGGCTAGAGAGACTAGGCTGGTTTGCCAGGTTCTATCGTGAGAAGGTCTAAGAAGAGGACTTCTCCTTTGGGGAGAAAAGATAGGTTTGACAAGAGAGACTCTGGTCTCAGGACTGGCGTCCTCTCCAAAGTTGAGGGAAGGGAACTCAATAGAACCGCTCAAAGTTGATGGGTGTCTAAAAGAAAGAGAAGTTTGACACCCCAGGCCCTGTTTGCATGACTGGTGGGCATTGGTCTTACTGATCCACCTCAGATACTAGTAGGGGAGTAAGCATGGAAGCCCAAGATGTGACGGTGGGATCAGAAGGTGGGGTGCAGTGGACACGCTTGCAGGTTCCCAGTCCCTCACGATAGAGCATGAGCCCCTCACCTCCTCCTAGACCCCAGAGTTGGGACCACAGAAGGCACACAATCGGAGGTGGCAGGCTGATCAAGGATCATCAAGGGGTGAAGCAGAGGAGCTCTGGGTGCAGAGGAATGCTGGGGGAGACTTCAGGCCTGGAGTCACCAGACCTCTCACAGGCTTCTTCCTGGGAATGTTTGGACTTGAAGTCCTAAAGAGTGCCACCTGGAGTGAGAAGACAACTTCACCTCAGGAGACACCTCCCTTTTCTCCTTCCTCTCCACATGCTAGAAGGGTCCACTGTGGAACAAGCAGGGCTTCTGGGAGAGAACAGTGCACCCCTCCATCACTCATATGCACAAACACAGATTCACACACAAGTCACTGGGGCCATGAGCCTCATGTGTGCTGAGAGAATGGGGAGAGTTTTGGATCAAACTTGAAATTTGCAAGTGAATCAGAATCTGATTGACAGTTTGGATACAATGTTCTTTCCTGATCCAAACAACCATGGCTGGGCCATGAGTCATCTAATCTAATAATGGCTCCCAGGTTGCCACCCTGTGGATGAGGGAGTCAGATGTATGACAGGCAGAGACACGGTGAGTGTGGGTGACACCTCAGGGGTTGTCCTCTGTGGTTGCTTTTCTTCCTGACTAGAAACTGGGAGACATGAAAAATACTAAGCTCTGAGAGGCTGAGGGATGGATGCTGCAGGCAGGGAGAAAGAAAGAAAGATGCAACAGAGAGAAGAAACTAAAAGACACACTCCTCCTACCTATGTATGCATGCTGTTACTTCAGCCGTTTCCAAATCTTTGTAGCCCGCCTGTGGGGCTCCTCTGTCCCTGAGATTCTCCAGGCAAGAATACTGGAGTGGGTTGCCATGCCCTCCTCCAGGGGATCTTCCCAACCCAGGGATCAAACCTGCGTCCCTTATGCCTCCTGCATTGGCAGGTGCGTTCTTTACCACTCAGGCCACCTGGGAAGCCTCTACCTAAATATAGCCAGCCCTAAACCCAGCCTTGAGCCAGCTTGTTCCTGCTTGATTAGTTTTCTTCCTATAACTTCCACGTTTCCCACTACAGGCTTCACGGTTCATTATTTGCTTTATTTACATGACCCCCACAGAAATCATCTTTGACTAATATACTACCAGAACAACACGTTACTACATTACAAACCAGAAGAGAGGTAAAGCCCACAGAGAAAACAAAATATCTGAAGGAACATTGAGAAAGTTAGAAAAACTAAAAAATGATTGCTCAGACACATGAAAAGAAACAAGGGTGGGGAGTATAAATGCCTTAAGGGGCTAGGACAAAAACCCAGAATTCTGTCTGTCATGTCTTATGCCTGGAAAATGAGGGTGATACACAGCACCATCATGAAACATACGTACTATTACAGAAAAGTGACTCCAGGTGACTGCCTGGAGGTATTCACCTGTTGGAAGCATGTGACTGTCAAGATGAATCAGAGCTATGGAAATTAACCAGTGGGTACACTGTGGGCAGAAATATGTTTTAGAGAGAAAGACTGTAGCCTTAGATTTGTGGGTAGGAGTAGACATGCTGGGAATGAAAACCAGAGCTAAGAAAGAGAACAAAACAAACTCCTAAATATTCTCTTGTACAGTTCAGAAGCTGGGCTTAAGTTTTTCAACAGGACAAGAGTTGGGAAGTACCAACTTTACCTAAAATACTAACCCAACCTAAAGAATGGTTTAAAAGAAATTTTGCATGTGAAAGGAAGTATAATTAGAACTGATGACATTTATTTTAAAGGAGACTTTATATTTCCTCAAGCACACTCAGGACTGGATTAATGGAACTAGGTAGAGTGATTAATTAACAAATCTGCTCTCTAGTACCTAGACTTTCTTTACGTTTCCAAATTTTAAAACAATATCCTTTTGAAGGATTAAGAGCAAGGAATAGGATTCAGGTCAATGTAATGAACATGTTAAAATAACCAAAGCTTAAGCAATACAGGATGTGGGATCCCAACAATGCTGTTTTGCAATAAAGGCGATCAATCCCAGACGTAAATCCTTCTGGCTTCCAGCATTCCCATCAACACACTGTTGGTGGTGTCCTGGAATCACCAGAACAATGAAAGCGGAGGCAGAGGGAGGGGAGCAGACAGATGGGGATCCCAGGAAAGATCCTGGAACCGGAGCTTGGACTCTTCACCTTAGGAAGGTGCCCCCTTAGTGCTGCCATTCCAGCCCCCAAACTGGCACAAGAAAAGTGCTCTAACAATAATATGTCCTCCATGGTCCTTTAAGCTCTCAACAAGGCATGATGTCTTGGTTGCCCATTCCCCCCTGGGAATTTTAAAAAATGTGAAGTGCTTTTCCCACTGAATCTCACTATTTCTATGGAATTTTTGGATTTTCTAGGACTCATTTTGTGTGATTTAGAGGGATTCTATCATAATTCTCACCCTGTAGACTGCTGGGAAAAAAAAAAAAACTTGATGGAAAAAATGTTTAAATACACAGGAAGCTTTCTGAAAGTGATAGATCTTCACTGAGTAAAAAAAATGGATAAAGAAATATTTTGAAAAGTACTTGGCATTAGAATGTATTAAATATTGTGACTAAAATTGTACCTTTGAGAATAACCTGTTCTGCTCACCATATAATTCTTTTGTTTACAGATAGAGTAGTGTGTCAAAACATTTGTTATTTGTGCACTCATTCGTTGACTCAATAGCATTTATTGAGTGTCTACCCCTAAGTGCAGACACCATGCCAGGTGCTGGGGTGGAGGAGGGAATAAAAATAGTGATAAAAATAACTACCATTTCTTGAGTGTTTATTACCTGACTATCTCCTGAAGCCCCACAGTAACACTAGGAACTACATATTATTATTTACATTTCCCAGAAGAGGACACTGAGGCTTGCGTAAAGCCACCTAG